TTTACTTGGATTTTATTTCTACCATTAACAATATTATACACGTCACCAGTTGATTAGATATAAAAGTTATTTAATCAAATAATCAACATTAATAAAAAAATCTCAATCAGTTGGTGACACTCGTTACTAGCAAAGCGTGTTATGATCTTGCGTTGACATGTGTCATCTTTTGATTAAAGAGATAATTTATTAAATAAAATAAAATTATGATAAAATTGATAGAATATACATGTATTAAGGATTAAATGTGTAATTATACTAATTTTATTAACTGTCGTTATCATTAAAATTTAATGATTGATGGCTTGATTGTACCATTTAAATAGTTTAAGTGTTTTAATTGACAAGATTAAAAGATTAGTGGTCAAGAGAAAAATGAGCAATAGTTAAGTGATCATACATACATTTTACTAGTTCAAACGGTTAATTCTGTCACAGACCGAATCGAATTACTATTAAATAAATTAACCGATTTTAAAAAAAAATAATCGAACCGAACTTTGTTAAGTTATTTCAGTCGGTTAACCGAATTAATCGATTTTTTAATATTTTTTAGTTAGATTAATTTGATTATAATAGAGATATTTTTTATTTGGGTTAAAATTTAATTAAGTATTGATAATTTAATGAATTTAGCATTGTTAAAAAATAATTTGATCTTAATTCTTAATGGATTTGAGCTTAAACTATGAGTTTAATATATATGGTAAAGTATAGTAATGGTCACTGAACTTTTCTAAAGCTTTCATTTAGGTCTCCCAACTTTTAAAACTTGTAATATAATCCCCCAACATTTAGTCCGTTAGCAATATGGTCCCTCAACATTTAGTCCGTTTGCAATATGGTCCCCGACGTAACTGTTGGGTGACCATATTGCAAACGGACTAAATGTTGAGAGACTATATTGCAAGTTTTAAACGTTGGGGACCTAAATGAAAGCTTTAGAAAAGTTAAGTGACCATTAATATACTTTACCCTAAAATTAATTCTATTTTAACTATGAATTTCATTGTCTCCGCTTATAATAACATTAAAATTATGAGTCAAAATATTAAAAAAATTGAAATTTTTACGTTGATATAACGGATTCAAATCACAAAATTTGTTTACTTTGTGAGCATGAGTAATTTGCTCACGTGTAAATGATGGAATTTATGACTATGAATAAGGTGGCATTATGTAAGCCAGATAATTAATCAATGTGATGGCTGAAGTTGATCCCAACTTTCTAAGTCAATACTCAATAGGCTGCTGCATGATAATTAATAATATCACTTTAATTAAAGCTTGGAAAATTACATTTATAAAATAGGGATAGTCAATAGTGGAATTATATTTTCTTCATACATGTCCACATTAAATTAGTATTGTTTTTTTTTCTCGTAGAATAAAGAGGTAATACATTCAGATGGAAATATTTTATAATTTTCTATATAAAATAAGATAGATTGGACCAATGAAATTATTTAACTAAAACCCTAAAGCTTGATGGGTTTAATCTCTGGAGTTTCTGGGCCAATACATTTGTACAGTAAATTAGTGGATCCATTTCAATGTATGGACCGAAAATACTGTATATGCTCTTTTTTATTATTATTAATTTGAGGTGATTATGGTCAGAATTCTTCCGGTCAATTGATAATAAACGCACACACATTTTCGGTCCATACATTGAATTAATTAAAAATATTCAATTACATAGTGACACGTGTTACCATATGATTGATGATTAAATTTACTGAATTAATTAAAAATTAGGATCAAATTAATAGAACGTGTAAGTAATGAGAACTAAATATGTAATTATACAAATTTGATTAACTGCCAGATCATCTCCTCCGTTAATATTTAATGGAAGGTGGCTTGATTGATAAGATTTAAATAGTTAGGTGACCCGATTGATAAAAGTGAAAGATCGGTGGTTAAAGTATAAGGGGTAAATAATTAAGTAGTCAATGATATAGTTTACTCTAAAAACTAATGTTTTATAAATATTGCATTTTAATTAAATTACATTTATATTTTTAACTAATTTATAATGATGAACAGTTTGTATTTGCTTGATGTTTTGATTACGAAGAATCGAATTGGATTGGATGCAGAATAGGTGCGAGCAATGAGGCAACTCTCATAAATCTATTGAGGCTTTGTGTTTACAAAAGGTATGGGGCGAAGGAGAAAAGCTGGAAGCATTGACAATTTGTTTCACTTTTCCAGAGCATTTAAGCATACACTCTAGATTATAGACGCGATTATTGTATCTATATAAATGCTGCGCGTGCTGCATGATAGACAATATTTATTATTAAATTCAGTGCTGCCATAATCAACCAAAAGAAATCTGCATTAGTAACTCGATGACAAATTTACTGCATGCCTTGAAATTCCCAGAATTATTCTCTAATTATATGCTGTGTTTCAGCTTTTGACTTCTTATCGTCTATTAACTTTTGCAATTGGATTCGTTTGTTTACAAGAGTTGTCTTGGTTTTAAGATATACCATGAATGTGCAGAGAATCTTGCACTTATCCCTTGTTTGTGACTTCCATGCCTCATTAATGGCCTTATTATATGTATGTATGTATGTCTTGATGATGAATTACATGGAAAAAAAAAAGGTTCTACATTCTAAATCATCTGCAATAACCCATATCCTTATTGTCCAAGATGGTTCGAGGGATACCCTCCATTAAGCAGGAGACTGGCGGAATCGTTAGCGTCTCCTTGTCCCCATAAACATTCCAACAAAATGGGTCCGAGACAATATCTCCTTTCGCCGGAAGAAGTTCGATATCAGAGTGTGATGTTTGCACACGGAACCGAATCGCTGCAGGCGAAATGCATCGGAGGGACAATATCTCCTTTCGCCGGAAGAAGTTCGATATCAGAGTGTGATGTTTGCACACGGAACCGAATCGCTGCAGGCGAAATGCATCGGAGGGCTTCGGATGTCGTACGTTCCCTTGATGCTTTCGTAGAGTATGTCTGAGACATAAACCGCTGACGTTTGGTTTGTGCAGCCCTTTGTGAGACAGTAGAATTGATCAATTATTATCAGATTCCTAACATTTTCCATGTGAATGTTGCTGAATGTTATGCCCGATACAGCTCCGGATCCACCTTGCCATGTCTTGATCCTAACACCGTTATCCGATGCCTTGATCACCGAGTCTCGAACCGTGAGCTCCAAAGTTTCTTACATGGAAAGCACCGGTAGAATTATCGGCATTTCCATCATTAGATGGACCGGAAGGCTCGGGTGCAAAAGGACTAGAAGGCTCGGGTGCAAGAGGACTAGAAGGCTCGGGTGCAAGAGGACTAGAGGGCTCGGGTGCTGGAAAAGGAGCTGCTGAAATTTCAGATATTTTGTGATGGGGAGTATGATGTTTGTGTTTAGTATGGTGATGATGCCATCTCCCTTGGGTGGAAAGGAAGAAACAGACAAAAGACACGCAAAATATAAATAACGATACACGAAAATGCTCCATTTTTAAGCTAAAATTAATTCCACCAATGAGGACAGATCAGTAGAGAAGAAGCAAGTGACTTCCTTCGATTGAGTGAACACTAAGTTTGTTCAATTTGGGATGCATGGCGAACCAGAAAGTCTACATATATATACTATATGAAAGTATATTACAAAAAACAGATAGTGGGAAGGATTATCAAAGACGTCTGCAACTTTAGATTATTTTAATGGAGTTTTTGGAGGCGGGAACCGACCAACTCCATACAGGAATTGGCTTTTTTTAGTGAAGGCGGAGTCTGCATATGGCAGTTCTGGAAAAAAGCCCCCTTGTTTGTCCCATAACTTCCACTTTCATTGGCCGCAAGCAAAGTTACTTGAGCCTTGAATTAATATATATGCAGTATATCATGCTTTTTAAAACCTGCTGGCTCAGTTATGGGAAACTGAGCGGACCCTTTTTAATGCAAAGAGGAATCTGATCTTTTTTCCCCCATAGCTTTTTATAAACGAGAAATGTATTGAATGATAATGCAGCGACCATCGAAGGCAGTTATTTCGGTTGCTTCATTCGGTAACCTCCATTACCAATGATGATGTTGGCAGAAACCTCAAGTTGCCTTGAAGGGTAGTTGATGTTTTAGATAGTGGTGCTCGGCTATGACGTGGGCACAAGGCATGCAAGATACCATGATTTGAATAGGCAAGAATTGTTTTTGCAGCAAAGACGGTGAGGGTGGAAGCGTTGGTTGATTGGGGCGGTGGTGCACTAGTTTGAGGTGAGAGAGCTACCTCCACACATAAAAACCCCACTTAGTCTTTAAAGTACCTCAATGCCTTTATGCTTTTGTGTTGTAGTGCGTACGGGCGCCGCAATTTTTATTTAGCAACCGCTGCATACTCATGATTAAGATAAAACTAAACTATTGGATGATGATAGGCTGCTTATGATGGATCATGGATGTAAGGATTATGGTTTACGAAAGGTTTAACTTACAAAATAAATGTTTACATTATATATTTTTTATTTTATTTGTTTAAAGTTAAATATTTAAAATTTCATTCTGTTATCATTTTAAGATTAAACAATTAAACTCGAATTAAGTAACTTCGACGATAAAGAATTGTTATTTTTGAGATCTCGAGTTTGAGCACCATTAATGAGCGTTTAATATAAAATTGTTGAGAGCCATTTTTAGATAATTAAATAAAAACTAAAAAATCGATCCATGTGTGATGCACATATTTGTTTTAACATATGTTGACGGTTCTAACCTTAAAATGATAATGAAATGAAAAATTAAGCACTTAGTTTAGACAAAAAAAAAACTTTACACACCTAAACAATGGTATAATTTAAACCTTATTTAGTTAAACCTTTATATAAAAATTCAACTTGTGTTGCTAAATTTAATAATAGGAGACAACAAATTTTTTTAATAGAAAGGATTTGGGGTCGAAATCTTAGATATATAGTGTCAATACCACTTAAATAAAATTAACGATATGTGTATTAATGTAGCAGATCTTAAGTTTCATAAGTATTTATGATTCAAGCTGCAACATAAAACCATCCCTCTCTTTCATATGCAGTTCCAAAATGTTAGCTCTGAACAATGTTAGCTTAAGAATAAGCCTTTCAATGCACCTTAAAGAAGAAGAAAATAAGTGGGACGATTATCGTGTTGAACCTTAGCTTTTAGCATATTCTGCAAACCGATCCAAACCACTTTTGAGTAAATTTTCAAGAAAAGGTTGAAGTACCTGTGTAATTTAACAGAATAAGAAGATTGATTACTTCATGTTAGCTCGAGTGCGAGGAAAGGTTTTGATTATAAAAGCCAAATGAAGCATTATCTATTTGCTATACACCAAGTTAAACATTAGTAGAAACTTTTATTTTTTCCCCAAGGTAACAAATTTTACGGGTTTGCCTCAACAACATTCTTTTTCATGGCAAGAGTACTTACGGATGCCACCGGAATCAAAAGCTGTGGAACTTCATAAGAAACCGTCAGCTGGAAAGGAAAATTGCAACCAGTGAGCACAATTTGAAGTAATAGCCAATAAAAACTCATTAGCACTCTACACTATAGCGATAAATCAGTACTGTAATGCAGTTTGAAGTAACTGCTGGTATAGGAAGAATGGTTGATATAATCAGGAAACAATAGCAATAAATCAGTAAAGCATTGATGCCAAGTATTGTATAGAGATTCTCACTTCTATTAGACATGATGAAGGTCCTTTAGGATAAAATCGAACAGCACCCCTGACATGTAAAATCCAGGTTGTTAAGATTCTATAACCAAGCCCATAAAAAAGTATAAAATGGAAGTTTTATTTAAAGGAATGCAAGAAAGTAGAATTAAATAAATTATCTATTTTTTCAGCATAAGAAATGAAACAAAAGGAACTTCAACTTTGTATGAAAATTATCTGGCACCTCATTTCATTTTGCCAAAAACTAGAGTACCAGAAAAGGTGAATCAGCTTTGAATGAGAGTTCTCTAGAAGAGAGAAAATGATGTTGCTAAGGGAGCAAGGGCAAGTTCGGAGCTAGTCTGTGACCCAAGAGCAGAAGGTGGTTCGAGTCTCAAGAACCTAAATAGTTGGAATAGAGCTTTCTTTATGCAACAACTTCGGGTTTATATAGTGCAGGCCGAGTCTCTGAGGATAACCTGGATAAATACCTATATACTAAAAGGAATATCAGTTATGCTGATGCCTGTTGCATATGGAAGCATCTGAAGTTGGAAGAGAATTATGGGACTTGGGGTAGTAGCTGCACAATTCTTCAAAACTAGAGGCCATTGCAAGAGCACAAGTACACGGTGAGCAAAATGTGGCAAGAGATTAGGCCAAGGACAGGGAAGGTTCCATGAAGCAAGATCACATGGCGCCCTCTCTATGTACCAGAACACTACTCCATTACCTGGATGGCTACCTTGGACAGATTTCGGGACTGCCAGATGAAGAGGAAACAAATGATCATTTATTTGTTGAGTGTCGATATTCTAGATGTGTACGGAAGGAGGTGCTGCAACTATGATCTTCGCATGGGCAGCCTCTCTCTTGCCAGCAGGAAATTGGATGATTGCAAAATTAAAAAGGGGAAAGCTCTCATCAGTCATTACAATTATTCTCAGGTTGGCCTGGAATGCTCGTGTATACTGGATATGGAGAGAAAGGAATAATAAGCAGTTTAGAGGACGTCAAAGAACTAAACAGGAGCTATCGGGAATGATCAAGGTAATTTTTAGTGTAAGATCGCCTGATACTAGGATTAACATGAATGATATAGTCAATTATCAACTTTGTATAGCTTGGGTATTAGACAAAATGTATAGGGAGTTGATCATTTGTAATAGTTCTTGAAGTGATTGCATAACTGTAGCAGATCTCTGTTTAGTAGGAAAAATGAAAACAAAGCTTATCCGGGAAAAATAAAAAAGGACTTCAGGGTCAAGCACAAACAACACTCCGTGAGTACAAGTACAAAACCGAAAAAAAGAAGGTTCTCATTTGTTTTGATTAGTTGTGCTTCAGATCATATTTGAACGAAAACAGGAGGAAACTGGAAAGGTATGCTCTAGTATTATAATCTTATGACTCATCTAGAAGGTGTCTGATTTACGATTCCAAATATTATTTATTTAGCGGGCGCGGGTAGTTATCATCTTTCTTGCTTTCATTGTGTCATTTCCATCATATTTCAGGAATATGCAGCACCTAACAATCGAATAAACTGTTTTGCAATGAGAGAGTTTCGTGTCCCAGTGGCAGATGGTTAGTTCATAGAGCTTTGTCGTGGGCAAAACAAAAAAGGAAAATGATAAACTGGCCTAAAGGAACAATGCAAAGTCGGGTTATTCATGATCGATTCAACGAGTCAATGTAATTCCTATTACTGAGTTGTTTTTGGCTTGCCTGTTAGGAAGTCCTTCAAGAGATCTCCAGTGAATTTTCTGATTCGGAATGGGCTGCACAAGAAAATTAATTATCAATTCCAAAAGAAATTTATATATATATAAAAGGGCCAAGGAGAAAGAGAGCTAATATCATCTTCCTTACTTGCATATTCCTAGCAAGCCAAGAGTACTCAAGGTCACGGCCAAATGCGTTATACTTCAAAGACCACCGAGACAAGGCAGGCTCATCTTCCAATACCTGATTAGAAAAACCAAAGAATAAAACTTCCACTGAAACTATCACCGCCTGCCGTACAATCAGAACACTTCGAGAATGATCCTTTATAGCACATTAGCAACACACACTGACCTTGACAGATGAAATGAATGGCATCCAATTGGGAATTGCTTCACGATCAGAGTAACAATTGTAAGCCACAGAGGCGGGGACATCAACTTCAATCCTTGCCCTGAACCCATTTTTACACTTACAATTTTGGGTCAACGAGTAAATTCTAGTCAATGGAAAGAAGAAGAGAAGGGAAGGTTGGGAAACTTACGTGCAATCCTGCCATTCCATGACAGGAGAAAAGGGCCTGGAGGAAGTGAAAAAGGAGGCTTTCTTAAAAGACCCATATGGGATTCTGATGAAGATTCTGTTAACAGACGGCGGCTTCAAAGGAGAGACTCTGCAACAGGACATAGCCATGTATATGATTCCATTTCTCTTTGTTTGTAAGACATGGCTGAGTCTCAGAGACTTTGAACTTGAAATTAAGGAAATTACTGGTGAAGACATCGCTCAGAAAATTATTGCAGCAGAGAACAAAAATACAAAAGAAGGAAAGATAGAAGGCAACTGGACGCCGAAAAATCCACAAGTTCGGACAGCATCACACCCTTTGTCTGTCTTTTTATTTTCAGGGTAAACTATATTGGATACCGCCAATCTTTAGTCTGTGAACCGTTCATATACTAACTTTTTAATTGCTCTAATTATAACACTAAAATTTAATTTTGACATCAATTATACTACTAGGTCATTAAAATCCAAACGATAAGATGACACAGAAAAAATATTATTTTGATACGATTATTGATGTATAAAATGATGTCATTTGAGGTACTAAATTTTTTAGGTATATCAATTTTGACACTAAACTTTTAAACATTTCACTTTTTGGCATGACACTTCTTTTATTATTGTTGGTAGTGAATCGTTGCCCATCACTAGTCACCTTTTATGACAAGATCAATGTCAAAATGTTCATATTTCACTCATCTTTTTTTTTTTTTTGCATATGGTTGGTTTTCCAAGAAACCCATAAAAAATCGATGAAATTAAATAAAAGAAATTCACAATTTTTAGGGGGTTTTAGATTTGATGGGTTTGAGGAATTTGTTCAAAAATTTGAATTGTGAGAAGTATTATTTTGAGAAGACGAACAACATAACTCAAAATTAGCCTCATCAGACGATCATCGGAGGAGATTAGAGTATTATCATTTCGAACAATTAGATGGATTTTATCTGTCGGAACCACATTTTGAGTGGGCCCAAAATTGGGCTTCAACTTGAAATAATTGGTTAGAGCCACCACCGATCATTTTAAAACGATATTTAGGTAGATCGGACACCATCTCACCTGATCTGTGTTTTATCATAAATGTGTCGAGTTCGGGAGTTGGTTACAGTCAAGGAAGGATTACCACCCTTATATTGCCCTTTCGGTGCCAATTAATTTTTCGGTTGTCTTTAATTGCGAAAATTTAAATTTAAATGTAAGTTTAAAAACTCGATTCAAATTATTTACCTTTGATCATTTAAAAAAATCCGTTAAAAATATTGTTAGATTGTACAATAAAAATAAATAAATAAATATTAAATAAAAAGAAAAAATAGAAAAAGGTTAAAAATAAAAAAGGACCAAAATGAATGATATTTAAGATAGAATGATTACACCAAGGATTAATCCTTGAAAACCCAAAAACATGTTACCTTACACGTGGGCCCCTCTTTGGGTGTGTTTCCTCGTGTTTTCATTGCCCTGAAAAAGGACTTTTCAGCCATATTTTTCCCATTATCTGTTCGAGAAAAAGGCAGGCCATAATTCTCAAGTTTTTTCACTGCTTTGGAGCTTCCTTGCATATATATTGAATTGCATCCTGATCACCGGGCTGAGCCACCTTGACAAACGCTCAAGTTAGTAATTCCTTGCTATCAGCGTCAAATTTGGCACCCACCAACACCGTGGAACCGCCGCCTTCTCCTCCCTTGTCCCCTTCTCTCTGATCACCGTCATTTCCGAAGCAAAACGACGTTTTTACCTTCCTCTGCTTTCTTTATGCGGAGGCTTTGATTGTAATAAGCTTGAGAAAATCGAAAGTGGGTGTAGACCCATTTACTGAGTCGACTCGAAGAGAACCCGGTGGAGGCAATTCATTGCGAGTCGATAGAGAAATTACAGGGCTTTCGATTGCGTCTGCCAAGTTTGGAAACTTTTCAAACAGGAACTCAATCAGCATGCCGAACCGTATACCCCAGTCACCAACATGGTTTCGTCGAAGGATTTTAACTTTGGAAAACTCAAGCATACGAGCAAGCGTGGGATGGTTGTTTACCTTGTGCAGTTCAAAGCAAGGAAGAAGAAGGGTTGTTAAGAGGGAGAGAAGTTTGAGGTTAAATGTATAAAAAGAGAAGTACAGTTGGCATATGAACCTCATACGCAGGCAAGGCCATTTTTCCCAGAATTTCTATTGTTCTCTCTTTTCCCTGTAAAAACACTGATGTTTGCTGTCTGGTATGGATATATTACAGACAAAGGAGGAGAGCAGTGGTGCGTTTTGGTCCCCTCATTCACGTGGCCCCAACACTATTTAAAGTCAAGGCCAGATTCCCACTTTTCTTTTTTTGAGAGAAAAGGAAGCAAACATACGTGCAAGGTGGTGATTGTGGATTAGTGGGTATGTAATGTGGTTGAGATAATGGCGGGGTAGTGGAGTTAGTTGTTCGTTTAAAAAAATAGAAAAAAATAAAAGAAACAATAATAATAATTATTATTATAATAAATAAATATTTTTGTGTAGACCTAGATAAAAATAAGTGTCTACAGTTGCCCCTCTTTGTATATTTTTGTGTTAACATGAATAGGGTAAAGGCGAAAAAGACAATCAGTTTTTGTCCGATCATTTTTTTTTGTTTTGAGACTTGATAGTGTTTGATTTGGAAGATGACACTGTTCATATGTGATGAAGAGTTTGGGTCATCTAAGGATGATAACACGGTATCTATGTGATAGGAACGACTGGTTATCTTAAAGAATGATGACACGACTCCTACGTGATGAGGAGGGCAGGTCATCTTTAGGGATAATGGTTTCAAGAGAAACGACTCACAGATGATGCTTCGAGAGAAGTTGTCTCAAAAAAGACAAAATTCGTTTCAAGGAAGCGATCTCAAAGATATTTGTTGTTTCATGAGAAACGATCTAAAAAATAATAGGATTTGTTTCAAGAGAAAAATATCAAAGTTTGGTTGTTGTTTCATGAGAAACGATCTCGAGGGAGACAAAATTTGTTTCAAGAGAAACGGTCTCAAGTGAGACAAAATATGTTTCAAGGGAAACTGTCTCAAGAGAGACAAAATTTGTTTCAAGGGAAACTATCTCAAGAGAGACAAAATTCGTTCCAAGGGAAACTATCTCAAGAGAGACAAAATTTGTTTCAAGGGAAACGCTTTCAAAGTTTATGTTTCAAGACAAATTGTCTCAAGGGAGACAAAATTTTGTTTCAAGGGAAACTGTCTCAAGGGAGACAACTTTCTTTAAAAACAATCTTGAGTGAAATGAAATGTCTTCTTTCGAGTAAAAATTGTCTCAAGTGAGACAAAGTTTGTTTTAAATGAGTCTATTTTAAGAAAAACAATCTCAAGTGAGATAAAGCCTATGTATTAAATGAGACTGTCTCAAGTGAGACAAAATATGTTTCAAGAAAAGTTATCTCTAGCGAGACGACACTTTGTTTTGAGAGAAACAATCTCAGAGGCAATCGAAGTATGCTCGTTCTTGCTGGTGGACACGATATCCTTCGTCGTGAAGTTGAAGTCATGGATGGTTCCTTCGTTGTGAAGTCGAGCCTCGAATTGGATATCATTCATCGTAAAGTTAAAATCCAATCTCGAGTAAATAGCGTTGCTTCGAGTCCAATATCCTTCGTTGTGAAGTTGAAATTGACTGAATGAAACTAGAAAGTTGTTGGTTGAGTCCAATATCCTTCTCTGTGAAATTGAAATTGACTTTGAATGAAACTGAAAAGTTGTTTGTTAAGTCCAATATCCTTCGCTGTGAAGTTGAAATTGACTCTAAAAGCTGCAAAAGATTATGTATGCAAAAATGATGAATGTGGTGCTCTTAAATATGTCTAAGATGTATGCAATATGAATTAACTTTTATTTTATCTCCTGGGTGGAGTCTCATGCTTTGTCTGCTTGTTCCTGCATGTGGATGAAAGACCTTCAAAAGATCAGATAATCCGCATCAGATATTTAATTCCCAAATATGCCCCAATATTCAATGTTGAATCTCAAAAGATGCCCCAACATTTGATGATTCAAAAATGCCCTCATCGTTCCTCATCTATTGTTTCAACACTGATTCTAAGCATAAGCTTTATGTCTGAGAGTCACATGTCAAATACCAAGATCCACTCTATAGAGATTGTCTTGTTTGAAAAGTGTTTTTATTCTTCTTTTATTTTCGAGATATGAAAATATTTTTGAAAAATGTTTGATCAAAAAGTTTTGAAAATATTACCCTTTCTCGGTTTCATAATTGAGACGAATCATAAAACTAGAGTTCATCGGATATTAAAGAATTAATTACAATGTTAATCCTTCAATAATTTATAGCTATTTGACAAGTGTCAATGTAACACCCCAAGCTGTATCCGACCCGAATACGAGTCTCAGATGTCACATTGACTTTTCAAAACCTTTTTTTTACAAAATATCAAGACATTTGAACTCTTTTTAAGAAAATACGATAATATATTGTCGAATCATGTTTGTTATGACCAATTTAAGAAAATATACGTTTTATGAATAGTAAAATATGGTATGAACAGTGAACATTACCGTATGAACAGTGCCGTGAACATTAACATGCTACAGTACCCCCGAATGTTAAAATCTTCCAGAATGTAATAGAGGAACCGATTCCCCTGCTACAGGGAATCAATACCCTGCTACAGTACTACTACAGTACTTCCGTAAAATATGTATAAATTTATGAAAATCAAAGGTTTCATCCGCATAAAATTTCCATGTATAAATACACATTTAAATCATTACAAAATTCAATCATATGATTTTACGAACCAATAAAAAAAAATATCGAATTCAAATCTTTATTAGATGCCAACCACTATCATTATTACAAAATACATATTATTTTATTCTTTTCTGATCTGATCTTTGGAAAGGAGAAACTAACCTGTCTTGCATAACTTTTACCAATTTTCCTCTTCTCAGAACCTACGCGTGAAACAATCACATGCTAAGTCGTTGACTTAAAGAGGCATATAAAACATAATTATATGTTAACTGTAATTTCTGCAATGCATGAACATTTGATACTACCTTATCATATCAAAACATATATTCTTCTCTGTAATATATACATACATGCACATATCATGTAACATAACATCATTAACATGTTTATCATTTTTCATTTTATCATTATTAATTTCCTTTTTATACCATATCATATAAAAGCATATCTCCCATTGTATAACCAATGCACACATATACATTTATCATGAACATATTTATC